CTATCTGAAATGGCATACGAGCATCTCGGCGGCGAGGAGAGTTACAAGCTGTCAACTAAGGAGTCGGACAACGATGAGCTATGGAGGCTGGAGAACGCGAGGCCAAGATCTGGATTGGAAAATTTAGGAATGGCCGAATGGTTTTAGAAAAATAATTCCACTGCCAATCAACCTGATTCTGGAATTTAGACACAAAGAAAATGCTAAAAAGTAAGCATCTGTCCATCCTCGAATTCTGGTGAAGGCATTTAGAATCATGGTGACGGGCTCACAGGGTTAGAGCTGGCGATTGCGGGGAGACAGACAGGGTGAGAATGAGCGACGCAATCAAAGACTTCAGAGACAGTAGAGCGAAGGTAAGAAGGAATGATAGCTGCAACAGCAAGGGAAGAAGAAAACACGCGACGTGGGGATATTTATAAATGGCGAGATCATTACACGGTGACAGAGAACAGAGTAGAGCGAAGGCAAGAAGTTCACGGCCGGTGATGCACGACGGCGGGGAGACTAACATAATTAGACTTTTAGAGCAAAGGCGAGAAGGAGTTCGTAGAGTGAGAACTGGAGGCGAGGAGGAGGCCGAGAGCAAGATGGATTCATGGGCATCTGTTTTTCTTAATATTTTAACATTTGCAAATATTTTTTATTAAATTATATATCCCAAGACGGGACCGGGACGGGACAACCTCGTCCTGTGTCCCGGTCAAGATTTTGTCCCGTCCCAGAAATTTTTTTGTCCCATCTCGTCCCGTACCAAAGTGATCGAGACTAGGACGGACTTGCCGGGACAGGACAATTTGAACACTCCTAAATTTTCTTACCTTTGGTTCAACTTTTCTTCTTTTTTGTCGATTCTTCTCTTTCTAACCTTTCAAACATCTCTTTCTAAATTTTCCATCTCTTTTTTTTGAATCTGTTAGACATTTTGTAGCTCTATGACTGGTTTAAAAGCATAATTTTCATTTTTATGAGGAAACTCTTTTTGTAACTTAATGATACATCTCTAAACATGAGTAAATCTCTCAGGATTATTAGAAACCTGTGATACCAATTGTACCATACTAAGCAATAGTTGTCTATATTTTCGTGTTGTGTCAAGTTTAGAATATGCTTGTATCTCATTTTCTTTGACATCATGTACAACATTCCTTGCTTCTTTAGTCCATTGCTTGAGAATATATTGCTAAGGCATAAGTCTTACATTTTTGGACTCATATATTTTCAATGCATGGTAGCACAATATACTTGTGGTCTCAAAGTTTCGACAATTGCAAACAAATTTTATGTGTGTGAGGGTTAAACTCAATTCTCCGTTTCCCCTCTTCATCTATCATATGGGCCATGTATATAAACAATGGTTCTTTCTCTTTAAGTTCAATTAACTTTATAGAGAACTGGAGATCCTATTGTTCTTCGAACATATCAAAGGCAGTGGGGGTATAAGATCTCACAAGTTGGTGCAAGATAGGTGCACTTTGATTGACCATCATTGGTATCTTTTGCCGAGACTCATACTCAAGTTCCAATTCTTTGTATCATTTCTTTTTTATAACTTTGTCAAACCTCTTGAAGAATCGATTAATATCTAATTTTGGCTTTGTACATCTCTTCACATCAGCATTTCCACTTTCACTAACTTGTGTGCTTCTTATTCCTAGTGTGAAAGCATCCGTCATTTAACAGCTGACCCATTTTTCCTTAATGTTATAAGTGGAATTCAACTAGCTGTTTTCATGGACATTATAAGAAGATAATAATTCACTCAATGCTTCTTCAAACTTAGCCACATCCACATAATCAAACATGTATTTTTTGAAGTTAGTTAAAAAGTGTGAACCTTTTTTCATCAAGTTCCCAAGGTGTTTAATACCATTTTGCAACAAATACCAAGTACACAAACAATGTCTTGTATTAGGAAGTACTTCACTCAATGCTCTAGCCATTGCTTGATCCTAGTCATTGAACACATTTTGAGGCCTGTTTTGTATGTAAGCGTCCAAAAAAGTCTCCAATGGCCACTTAAAAGATTCGATGGTCTCATCATATAATAGCATTACTTCGAAGATCACCATACTTCTATAATGGTTAAAACTAGAAAAGAGTACAGGGGGTCAATGATCCCTATTTGTACTATATGTCGTGTTTATTGTTATGACCTCACCAAAATGTGCACAATCTTTTAACATATAAGCATTTGCCCAAAATACATTAGTAACTTGTTGTTCCATATCTAATTGGTATTTGTGGTATATGAAGGATTTTCCCCAATTTGTTTTTGAAAATATTCAAGAAGACATCCCACCTCTCCAAACTTCATATGTCTTCATCTTTTGTTCATCAAATAGTTCTTTGCATCTGTCATGGTATAACCAAGATTTTCTTGACCACCAATATATGTACTCATCAAGTCAAATGCTTCTTGAGGTTCAAGCCCAGATTGTTTTGCAAGATCTATTTCATGAACCTGAGCTTCTGATAAATTTGTCTGTGATGGTAACAAGTGCACTGTTTCTTGTGTATGAAGAGGGTGATTATGTTTTTCATTAAACTTGGTAATTTTGAACTTTCCTTTTACATGAGATACAGTCATTGTTGCCTTGCTATTAGTTCTTATCTCTGGCCAATATCTAGAAGAGGTTGTCTCTCTCTCTGTTTTTTTTGAACACCCTCCTTACAACATACATATCTATATGTAATAATAGAACCATCTATTTTGCTCTTTGTTCCATTATGCTTTCTAACTCCAAACCCAATTTTCCTCCCATATTCATTCCAGAAGTTCCAAGCTTCATCCAAACTTTCAAACTCTTCCTATTTCGAGTTTAAGTTCATCTTTCATTATATGGTTCCTATACACAATAAAAAAAGTCAAAATTTAAAAAATATCATCTTGCAAATATAAGATGTTATGTAATATAAGTTTGAATAAGAATTTCCACTTTTCTATTAACTCCAAATATAGAGGGGGAAAAAACAATCATTTTGCAAAAATCATTCTTCAAATGAAAATACAAATATGAGTTTCAGCTTACTCAAATAATAAATGAAAAAACTAAACCCACCTATGAGCCACTTGAAATTTCAGTTTTATATAAACACGTGTGTGCATATAATAACCCACATGTGAACCCCATTTTAATACGTGTGTGTGTGTAATATATATCAATATGATTATTAGAAAATATGGCAATACTGAAAAATGTCATGAAGGATAGAATAGATGAAACCTCCGATGCTTTCTCGCAGAGGTCCTTTTTTCAGCTGCAATTCGGTGGCTTCTTCGTCAATTACAAAGGATGGTCTAAGGTCAAACACTAGTTTTCAATCTGAAATCTTTCTTGCTCTGAAACTCAACCTTCTTCTAATCTTCAATGGCAGAAATCAGAAACTCTTTCCTTCCCAGAGTTGGTGCCAATAACCGAAGGTTATACCATGAATGGTGTGACAAAAGGCATTTCTTTGAAGAGCCATGGGGAGCGACATCGTTTGGCATTAAGCGTGCCCCCATGATTTAAATTTTAAATGAAATGGTGCACAGCGGGCGATGAGCCATCGGCGCTCATCACCCGCTGAGCATAGAAACTACTCCCTCAAATTGACCGGAGTGTTGATGCACTAAAACGGAATGGGAAAGTGGAAAAAATTAGTTTTAGAGTATTCTTGTAATCAATTTCCCATAGGAAACATATAAACATATTGATAAATTAAAAAGTATACAGCCCTCTTAATGAAAAATTAGTTTTTAAATATCTTTTTAAAAATAATATATTCAGTTTATATAAAATAATCACTTTAAATTTCTTTTAGATCAGACTTTTTTTCTCTTTTTATGTGCTTATTATTACTATTATAAAATTTTATTATATAATAATTAATAAAATGTACAGTTAATTATAACTTTTAAGAAAACTAGTGATTAATAAGACATATAATAATTAATAGGGTAAAGCAGCGTTGAAAAAAAATAATAGGGTAAATGTCATCCAACACCGTAATTTTTTTTATGTGTATCTAGCATCCTAATATTATTTTCTGGATGCATTTAGCACTCCTGATATTATTTAATTAATCAAACACTTTAATATTGTTTATGATTTATAGTATTGAATGTACTATAAATAAGATTAGAGTATTAAAAATATGTTATTGAGATGCTAGATGCACCATAAATAAGATTAGGGTGTTTGATGCAATTCAAAAATAATATCAAGGTATCAAATGCGACACTTCCCTAATTAATAAGATATATAATCAGTAATCACTTTCAAAATATATGGTTAATATGGGTAATAAGTTATAATTAATTATATATCTTATTGATTATTATATTATAAAAACTTACTCTCTGGTCCTTAATATAAGACCTATTTAACTAATTTGATTAAATTAAAGAAGTTAGGTAAGTTAGTTAATTTTAAGAAATATAACATATTTTTACTAAAATACCATAATCATCTTCTTTAATATCCCCTCTTCTTCTTTTACTTAATTATGGTTGAGGGAGTATTCATAAGGGTAATTTAGGAAAAATTGATAAATATGAGAAATAAGTCTTATATTCAGGAGCAAAATCAACTCAACAATTAGGTCCTATATTAAGGATCAGAGGAGTATAATAATAAGTGTTAAGGTTGATTAAGCATCCTGAAGTATTTTGTCATTTTGTCAGGTGTGATTAGTATCCCAAATATTTTGTGATGTGTCCAAGATCCTGGAATATTTTTTTTACGTACATCTAACATTTTGAAGTATTTGTTGTGTAATTTTGTTCTTAAAATATTAATTTCTTAGATGCACCTAAAAAATACTTCATTAACAAACTTTATACCTTTTAATTTATCAAATTTTTTGATATTTTTCACACAGGAAATTGATTGATTACAAGAACCCTGAAAAACAAATTCTTTCTGATTTTCCTATCCCGCTTTAATGCGCCCTTCATGTTGATTACAAGCGCAAAGCATCAAAACGAAGTAGTTTTAAAGCAAAGGAGGAGCAGCGGATGAAACAAATAAATGAAAGAAGCCAGACTCGTGTTAACCGTCACGGCACGAACGGATCCAGAGAGAACAGGCAACCTCCCCTGGGATCCGGCAACCCAAGAAGTCGTTTAGCATGATAAACTCTTTCTCCGAGGTATAACTGTAGATCTCCGTATTATCGGAAGTAAACAAGAAAAGAAATGGAGTACAGAAAAATCAAAGGAGAGGTATTACTAGTCTTGTCTTACATTCTTTTCCGCTAATTTTTGAAGCTTTTCCACATACTTTATCTGCCTACTAGCGTTTGAGCTTTAAGTTCCTGCGCTTAATGCTTAGCTTTATTCATTAATAAGGAAATAGCTTGAGCATTCCTTTGGGATTAATCAATTTCGTGATGTTTCTCTATGCATTTCTGGATTCTGAATTCTGAATTTTTTTGTACTTTGGAAACACTCGTCGTAGGATGACGATAGAGATGCGGGCGTTGAAGATGTTGAGAAATTACGTGGAAAACCACTTTCGCTCTCAGGTATTTGATTTTCATTCACCTCCTCATTCTCTCATTAACCTTGACTAAACTGTGATAATGCTGCTTCCAGTTGCGTTAAGATCTATCTTATGTAAGCTTTCTGGGTAAGCTTTTGTCTTCTTTCTACAATCCTAGATAATGTGGCCGCTATAGGAGAATCAAGAATTGACAGAGCAAAGTGGAAACGCAAGTACGACCTTGGTTTTTCTCTTATAATTCCTGTTCATATGACTATTTTTGGAGGCCAAATAAAATTCCTAGTTGATTTCTTACCACGTTGCCCCTGTTGAAATAGGTCAGTCGTTACTCTTGCGTTGACTGTTCTTACAAGTTCACAAGCCATCCTTATTGTTTGGTCCAAAAGAGCTGGCAAATATGAGTATAGCGTGACTACTGCGAACTTTTTGGTGAGACGGGGCAACATTTGATAATATTTCCATTTCATAAACGTTGCTAATCTCTCAGATTGAACCTCCCTAATTTCATTTATATCAGAGACCAGCATGATTATTCTTTCCTTATAGGTGGAGACTTTGAAATGTGCTATATCCCTCATAGTCTTAGGAAAAATATGGAGAACAGAAGGCGTTACTGAGGATAACAGGTGACCTCTGTTTTTTTCTGTTCAGATTTCCTTGTATGTTCTTACTTGCAGTTCATTTGTGAGGTGCTTGGCTGGGGATATAGTGGCAGCGAAAAAATCTGTTTACAAAGGCTTGTAAATTTGCAAACAATACTTATTGACATAGTTGGGGCTAGAGTATTATGTTCTTTGCCCACCTTGGGGCTAGAGTATTATGTTCTTTGCCCACCTTTTGAATTTGATTTTTGACTCACTGCTGCTACTACTTACAATGAAGAAGCAAGTGCAAGGGAATTAATGAATATGATCTTTTGAGGTAGCTTTTGGGGCTAGGAAATCATTTCCATGGGTTTTATACTGTGTTCGCTGTTAATGTTCTATTAGCCGTTAAACTATTGTTCTTTTAGATGGCATTAACAGTTTAAATTTTATATACCTCTGTATGCCACCACTTTGCTTTATTTTTTAATACTAATTTTTTTAAGATACAGGTTCCTCTGGATGTTCTGATATGTCAGTGACTCTCTTTCTAAAAATGAAATAAAACAAAATAAAATAGGGGAAGGGGTGAGAAATGGGAATTTGTAAATCTTTCATTTTGCGATGAGTTAATTTTTCCTGTTGTGTTTTGACTTTTGCTACTTCACCTTTTATTAAGTCTATATTTTCTACCTTTAACCTAGGTTGACCACAACATTAGATGAAGTTATAGTGTATCCCATTCCAGCAGCTCTTTACCTGGTTAAAAATTTGCTCCAGGTTCGTTGTGTCACTGGCAACAGTGCATTCTTCATTGCTGTTTATTGTGTATAGAACTTTTGTAGCATTCTGAAATCTGATTTATGTGTCAATTTTATGGCAGTATTACATCTTTGCATATGTAGATGCTCCTGGTTATCAAATATTGAAGAATTTAAACATCATCAGTACTGGCATCCTTTACAGGATTATTCTTAAGAAAAGGTAGGTCTTTTGTAATAAGTTTTTGGTTGCCCTTTCATTGTGGAAACTGTTGGTGAAGGATCATTGGAGTACCATATGGTCTATCTGTTAAGTCACTTTTATGCTTGCACAAAGGAAAGCTTTCTCCTGTATTTTTGGCATAGAAGCTTTGAAGAGCATAACTATTGCAATTATTCTTTCGTCCTGAGGCTGAATCACTCTAACTGTTAGAATAATATAATATTTAATATAAAGTCATACTTGATCGTATCCAAGGTCATGGGTACTGAGGCTGTTGTGTATTCTGATCTGCTAATTTTATATTTCAGGTTAAGTGAGATTCAGTGGGCTGCTTTTATTCTACTCTGTGCTGGGTGCACCACTGCTCAGTTGAATACAAAGTAAGAGTTATTGAACCCTGGCATTCAGCCAACGTATGTTTATTTTATTAACCTTAATTCATCCTTGTGCAGTTGTGCCTGATGTATAGATGTTCTCCCCTGATAATCTGATATACATGTAAATCACATGTTCATGACTAACCAATGTGCAAAATTTAGTGATTTATGAATGGTAAGTTAATAATAGAGCAAGCATAACCACGGAAGAAATTTGGATATTCAGTGAATAACTATTTTCATGTACTGTGCTTGTTTTGTGGACCAAAGCAATCTTCTTCTGGTATATTTGTTTAGTTTTCTTTAGAAATATGTTTTATTTGTTGTATTTTTATCTCAAGAAATCACATTGTTTTTTTCAGTTCTGATCGTGTTCTTCAAACTCCCTTTCAAGGTTGGATTATGGCCATCGTGAGTTGTTGATATTTGTCTCATTATATATGTAAAAAGCCTAACTTATAAATTTATGGTTTTAGAATATCTCCTCACGATGAGTTCTTTTCCTGCAGATCATGGCGCTCTTGAGTGGTTTTGCAGGAGTATATACGGAGGTGAAATGTTGGTTAATAAGTTGATATAACTATGTCGTTTAGAATTGAAACTCTTGTGTTGGCCAAAAAAAAGAAAAATTGAAACTCTTGTTTAGAGTTCAAATAATTTATGAGCCTATATAACTTGGTTCGTTATTAAGCTAAATTTGATTTGCCAATAGATATTTTGATCTTCCTAGAACAAGCGTTTTAATATTACTACGGCTGGGATGGAATTGAGGATTCTAAATGAGAACTAGTATTTAGCAGGCTTTTTTATGACTTTTGCAGGCTATTATTAAGAAGCGTCCTTCCAGAAACATTAATGTTCAAAACTTCTGGTTGTATATCTTTGGCATGGCCTTCAATGCTGTTGCCATATTGATTCAAGATTTTGATGCAGTGATGAACAAGTAATCTGCTATCTTCTTGACTCTGGTTTTGCACTAGATTTTGATCTTTTTTCTCTGTTCTTTCTCCTAGTTATTGTAGTTATGATAACAGTAGAGGAGAGAATAAGAGTAAAAGAGTAATATTCAATTCAATAGACACCTAATACAACCTCCAGTACCTTATTTATAGACTACTACCCCTTCCTACTTATTTAATTACTCCTAGTACTACTATTAGGGCGTATCAATATACTCCCCCCAAGAAAAAGATCCCTGCCCTCAAGGATCAGTACAGAGACAGTAGGAAAAAAAAAACACACACACACACACTTGAACTCTTTTTTTTTGGGGGGGTTAAATCATAATTGCAGATTTATAAAAGGAAAAGAAATTGGAAGTAAAATTAATGGGCATCAAAACATAAGCCTCCTACAGTAGTCCTTTCGTCCAACTTGCTGCAATATTCCCGTAGTCCAGAAGCCGCATTGTCATAGTCCATTTAAGCCCAAATTACACCCAATGCTGAAACTTTAAAAATTGTATGCGCAGCATCAGTCCAAAGGTGCTCCAGCCCATATATGTTTGAGGAGCCCAAACCTCATCTCAATAATGTGTCATAACTGCACCTATGTTGAGCCCATGATTTTTCTTGCTGCCACGTGAAAACATTTACTAGCCAAAGTCAAAGTAAAATTGAAAACCTGGACCACTCCATATATGCGGCTGAAGAAGATTCTAGAAGCACGCACAAAGACCCAACCTCTCTTGCCTCTTCAATAGATTTACCCAATCTGTCTTCATCAGCATTCCTATTTGACCCAAAAACAGATTCTCCCCAACCTGATTCATCCTTGAGTCGTTCTTGGCTCACATGGTTAATCCTTGTCAAAGCTAAGGTTTAGCCTCCACTAGAGGTAGTGATGAGCAACATTTGTCCTTGTTCTAGTGTTGGCAAAGGCGTTCCCACCGGCTTCTCAAAGTTCGTAAATGTCAAGTAATGATTCGGAATCTGAATTGAACAAGATGGATAGATTGTCAATAACGAATATTGTCATGTTATTCAGGGTGACCAGCTCGAAGTACTTCACCTTCATAGAAACCTTCACGTCAGTAGCATTGCTAGAGCTCCTGTTGATTGTATCAGAAATGACAATAATGTAGTAGCCTGGACTCAAGGTTGCGATCTTGGTTCCAAGGGCAAACTGCACAGATAAGAGCCTAGTACAAATCTTCCTTTCTTTAATGAATGAAATCTGGTCTGTGGACTTCAACAAATGTGAAGACGGGGTAGGCAGAAGAGAAAATCCATTGAACACAGAAGCAGTACCGACTTGGACTTGCAGGTGGGATTTGTCCCTTAGCGATTGTAGAAGTGAGCAAGACTTAGGGTCCAAAATGGAAGAAGAACTAGATACCCCAAAATTGGTTGCTTGAGCAGCAAATGAAGAAGCCGTTTGCAACATCTTGTGAACAAAGAAGGATGGACGTGCATTCTCATGCAAAGTGTGAGTGGGTCAAAGGTGCAGCAGTGGGTGCGTCAATAAGGATTGTCGATGATAACAAACAAAGTATACCATAGTTGCGGCAAAAACTATCATCAACCTTGCGACTTAGCATGGGCTTTGATATTAACAATTCTTGATTTGCTTCCATCTTCTCATTATTCTCATTTTTCCTTCATCATTAGCGTCAAATTTCATCGATTAGAATCGTTCATGTCTGTAGCAACATCATCATTTTTAGATGGCATGTTGTTGTTTGAATCAGCTGCATTCAGCTTCAAATCCTCCGCAACCTCTGTTTCTAGAAGTGTATCGCTCGTGTCTTCAAGAACAACAATGTTGAGATTAGAAATCTCACCAAATACTTCCTCTATTTCTTCAAGTACGGCATGATTCAGAATCTTGAACTCCTTTTGCTCGCCTATTCTGTGTTCCTTGTTAGGTTCTCAATTATGTGGTCCATATCGGTCTTGAAAATTAGCCAAACGCATCGCACTAGCAAGAGTGGTCGATGTAAAGAAGGCAACAACTCCTTGGATCTCTGTATAAAGTCCATTAATGAAGATGTCGATGGTTGTTGATTCTAATAAGTATATGTGTGACGGAAGAGTTTCAAATTGTTCTTGATACTCTAATAGAGTCGTTTCCTGCTTCAGTTGGGGCAATGCAGTGAGTGCTGGGAGGATTGATTTTCCGGTGTCCGTTGGTGGCAGCGGCAGCCAGAAGGCTAGCTCTGATGCCATTGATAACATTAGAGGAGAGCAAAAGAGTAGAAGAGTAATATTCAATTCAATAGATGCCTAATACAACCTCTAGTACCTTATTTATAGACTACTACCTCGTCCTATTTAATTAATTACCCCTAGTACTACTATTACCATATATCAATTTGCATCATCAAGTAGTATTATTTCTCTATTTCACGATGGAACAACATTTATTATGCATATGCATATTGATATATGCTTATGTTTTATCATTTCTTTAATTATGTATATCCTAGGTCAGTTATCTTCTGTTAATATCTTATGTACCTTAGAAAATATAAGACCTTCTGTAATCTAGGATTATTATCAAGTAAGGTTAATAGAAGCATACTTTACCTCCGGTTCTTCAATGCATATGTTTGGGTGGTAAAAATTCAGGTAACCAATACGAAGTACTGAGAATAAATCTGCCTTATTGGTGATGTAGTTGTAAGGCTTTTCTTGTCACATCAATAATATTTGCCTGACATATTAAGCTGTCTATATTCAGGGGGTTTTTCAATGGATATTCTTTAATCACCATTCTCATGATTCTCAACCATGCGCTCAGGTATATTCTGTTTCTTGATTAGCTTAAAAAAATTGTCATTGAAAACTATGATTCTTGCCTTAGTGTTCATACTTGCCTTGATGTTTTGTTTGCCTAACTGTTAGGATCCTCTACATGCATAAATCGATGGATGGCACTAATGGAAGTGGAGTTGTGAAACATCAATAAGATGTAACAGTAATTATTAGATGCACAAAGGACCAATTGCTACTAAGGGGGTGTTTGGATGAAACCAAACCATAGTTTGGAGAATAGCTTCTGAAGAATAGATTTTAGGGAGAATAGATTTTGTGAAGAATAAATTTTGTTAAAAAGTAATTTTGAGAAGTGAGAGTGTTTGGATAGTTGTTATCAGAAGCATTTTTTATATATACAAATTACTAAAAAAGGCATAAGTTAATATGATAGTCACATAAAAGATAGATTTTATGATTTATTTTAATTTGAAGAAATAAAATTGTTAATAATATTTTTTTTACCAATATAATTAATAATACATAAGATAATATGATTAATAATTAATTAATATGTGTGTATATATTTATAAGATATAAGATTAAATATGTTTATAAAAAATAATTGGGGGATGTTAAAGTCATATTATCTCACAGATACAATCATACTCTTTAATTTGAGCCAGAAGCAAATTGGATTCACTTCTCTTGAAAACATGGTTTTGGCCTAAACCATAGTTTCAGATTATTTTTCTAAAATTGATGCTGTTTGGGTGACATCCCATCCAAACCATGGTTTTGGGGAGCACCCAAACAGGTCCTACATGAGCTAAACTCATTGATGTCTTCAACGATTACAGCTGTGGTCTCTTTTTTTTTGGGTGACTGGAAGCTGTGGTCATTATTACGTTCTTGTTCTTCTAATCACCAAGTCCTCCCTCTTTCTCTAACAGTCTGTCACTAATCTCTATTACACTGTGCACAAGAGACATGAACTTATTTAGTACGTCAATTCTCATTTGAGAAGCATGGACATTGACACAAAGATGGAAACTGCCCCCAAGAAAATTTGATGTCGCCTGGTGCAATTTGGAGTGTCCTGTCATGTCTAATACAAATTTTGATATGTAATTGGCATGAGCACGACTCCTTTTTTGAGTTGAGTTGTACATGCTACACAGATCACCACCGTCCTCTATTACGAAAAAAAAAAATTTGCACAAATAGTTCTCTTAATAAGGGAACCCGTGGAAAAGTCCTTGTTATTTTATCGCATTTATGCAATTTTCATTTTGCTACTGTGCATTGATAGTATGTGGTTACAAGGCTCTTTCTGTTTACAGTGGTATTGCTGTATCAATGGTAATGAAGTATGCTGACAACATTGTGAAGGTAAGACATGGTTTTACGACTGTCAATATTTTGAGATGTCTGCTACTTCGTGTAATTAGTTTGTTGAGTAAAAAAGACAACTATTGGAAAGGAGAAATAATAGGTACAGTAAAAGAGGAGTACAAGGCATCATCCCTAGGAAAGACAGTAAGAAAAACACAACAAACAAAAAAACTCCTTGTTACATGCATGTGAGACATACCGATGTAGGCACATCCATGGCAGTAGTAGTAGGGTAAGTACCCTTTATCCAAATAAACAAATAAAAAGCTTTGAATAGGTGTGGGCTCTGTTAATACTTCATTCTAATATTTGAAAAGCATGCTCTCTGGCCGCTAGGTTTTAGGATCACCTCACTTCGATTTAATATTAGCATCTGCTGACCTTAGGTTTGAACTTTTAGAGCAATGGTTTTGTTTGAGGGCTGATTGGTGGATCTTCACTTATTCACTAGTGGTGAACATGGTTCTTTTGCAGCCACAAATGCCACCCAAGATTTTTTTTTTGTCTAATTGACTTGTTGCATTTTTTATGTCTAGCCGACCCTTTCTAGGATAAGGTCATCTTGTTGTTGCTGCTGTTGTTGTTTACCTATAATTGTTTATAGAATGTTTTATGGTAAAAATATTTTTTATATATATTATTTGTATATTATTTGGTATAAATTTGTTTGACGTTACATGTATTTTTATTTTTTAAAAAAAAAATTTGCTTTGCCTGGTTGCCATACCGATGCAACATGATGAGCCATAAGAAATGGTTCTTGAAAATCTTGACGTCACAAAACAGATCTGAAGACTTATAAATGGACATGAAAGACACGAATTTGTCACATGGCTAAAAAGTGCCCGAAAAAATAGGATTGGTAGCACCAGAAAGCGTTCCTTTGCAATCCACCAAAACCCCAATGTTGGTCCTAAAGAAGTACAATGTTGTTGTTTAGCACTTCCAATAATCGTGGAGAGCAACAATAAACCACAAAAGGATCTACTGTTAAGACATTATGGAAACAATGGAGTGAAAAGGCAGTGGATGAGATGGGAAGGGATGACTTGGAAGAGAGTTGCATTTCCTTCGTTTGAAATGGGAGAAATAAGGAGAAGGGGAAAAAAGCCTCTATGTTCAACATTCCTCTATTGCCCTGTATAAACTTTATGTTATTCAGTTTAGGGAGTGAGCTGGTAAATTACAAGCTTTTACAAATAAAATTTGTTCCCATCCTTTCTCGCCTCATTTTTTTTTCAAGCGAGGAATATGTTCCTCATGACTTGACAATTAGGACCATATCATCTGCAAAGTGAATGCACTTGGGAATTTCGTCCAAATTTGAGTCATGGAGATGGATTTTGGAATCAAGAGGTTTTTGCCTTACAAGTAAGATGGAATTTGTGGACTACAAATTTAACTTGTGGCCAATTGAAATGATTTGAAGGTCAAAATCAGTAATCGTATCACGCCAGAAGTGTCAAAGTACCAGTATCTGAGCTAGATATTACAAAATAGTGGTGAAATTGATGAATGGTTATGCAATAAGATATGAGCTGGGTGGTTGAGATAGATAAAGGCATCAAAAGTTGTTTGCAATGACAAAGTACCCACTGAGTTTAAAGGAAAGATTAATGGAACTATTATAGGACTAGCAATGTTTTATGGTAGAGAATGTTGGACGTTGAAGGGACAAGAACAAAAAACTTGTTATGGTAGGGAAAATTGGTGGGGGTAAAACTAAGAAAGGCGCTTGAGGAAGTAATTAAATGGGACCTATTGGTAAACAATATATCTGAAGAGTTGGTTGATAATAGAGTACAATGACAAGACTTCTTGTATAATTTTTCATTTGATCACCATCATTACTTCCATCTAGATGTTGTGCGAGAGTTTCTTTTCCCCACTCGATTGTGTGGTTGGTATAATGCTATGTACAGTTTTGCAGAGGGACCTTGTTAATCTTTATTTGTTGTTTAAGCCGTATCATAATGAGTATTTTGCGTCAAATAGGATCTAGATGCGAACTTGGTTGTTTCTCTTAGATTAGCATATCATATCCTGATTCAAACATCATCATAGCCATCACCGGTAACAACAGTTACACGTTTGAAAATTCAATTTCTCCTCAGCTTGCCAACTTTATGCAGGTGTATTCTACTTCAGTGGCAATGCTACTTACTGCGGTGGTTTCTGTTTTTCTCTTTGGCTTCCATCTCTCCCTTGCCTTCTTCCTTGGCACAATGTAAGATGCTGTTACTTACCCTGTGAATGTGCTTGCTTTGTGCCGGTGTATGATGAGTCTATGATTGAAATTTTGTCCTCTGCTGTAGCTTGTCCGTGAAATAGTGAATAGAGGGCAATGCCAATGCATCACATGATATGAATTTCATTTAAAATGTTGAGATTAATAGGATCTTGGTAGCTCTGGTTCACTAAACTTTAGTTTGATGGCGGTCTTGATGTGGTTAGGGTAAAGCTTTTATTGGAATAGTACCCAAAAAAAAATGTGAATCATGCTTTTCTTTATTTTTCTATGTCTAAATTTATTATTTGTTTATTCTGTTTTCAGTGTTGTCTCTGTTGCAATATATCTGCATTCCGCCGGGAAGATGCAAAGATAGGCGGGGCTTCTGCCATCCATTTGCCAATGCTGCACCTTTGTATTCGAGTCGTTGTGGGCTCCTTTAAAGTGAATTCCCTAAATTACCAATTTATTGCCTCAGATTTTATTATGATATAGTTCCGTGAAGATCTCCGAATAGACAATAGGTGGGTGATGCGATTGAGTCTGTGATGCCTCAGCAAACTCGATTGAGTTCCATATTGTGCTCCAGCTAATGTGAAAATGAGGCTAGGATCAAATATTGCGCCGTTGTAACGCTCCCTATTCAAGGTCACCCGCAGCATGTCTGCTTGAATTAGAGGCTACGTTATCTTCCCTGTGCTGACATGCTAACAGAAGTCATCGTCTGATTTGGCACTTGAGGCACGAATGCTGGTCACTGCTGGAACAGTGCACCTTTATGGGTAGCGTGTCGTGTGCTATCGGTGCTGCTGTTTACTGAACTATGAAAGGTATTGGAGGAAAACATGGTAATGATGTCATGAATAGTAATTTTGCTGGAAATTACCGAGAGCCAGAAAAGAGGTTTTTGGTCCTATACAAGTCAAATGTGTAAACTCTTCATTTTTCTTTTTTTAAAAAAAATTCACCATCTTAAGGCCCTATTTGGTAGGCAATGTGAATTATGAAAAAAAGGGGAGTGTGATTGGGAATAAGAATGAAAATGGGAATATTTTTTGAGTGGTGAGAATAATAAAAAAACACATGTTTGGCATGGCATGAGAATGTTTGAATAATTTTATTTATGCATGTGATCATACTTTTAAAAGACTATAATAAACTCGTCAACCTTTTTGTTTTTTTGAAAAAATTGACAAAAAAATATCCCTCCATGTGTCTGCACTTCCCTGGTCGTTAGTCTGCAACTCTTGAGGAAAAAATAAAATTGGTTCTTTTATCATTTCCTTCTCAACTACTCAGAAATTAAAATCACAACAAACTTTCATTATCATCCAATTCAAAACTAACAACAAACCCACCACATTAGCAGTCAAAAGATAATTTCTTTTTAGCTTCTTACTCTTCAATAACGTCATAGACATCTGACAAGTCGTTTGAAAAGAGGATTCGAACCTTTGTCGTAGATGGCTAAATCTAGGATGATAAGAGGGTTTGAAGCTTTGTACCTGATGGCCAAATCTAGGATGATAAGGGCTAGAGGAGAGTTGAAGATGTGTCCTTGGCTGGGCAAGACAACAATGGTCAATCGATAAGTGGAGCAGGTCATCA